TTATAATTAATTAACGACTATTAATTAATGGCTAATCTAGTAAGAACAGCTAAATGAAACGCCATGACTACTGGTAATAGTTATAATTAATAATAAGTAATAGTTATACCAATAGTTATACTAATATATAATTAATAATAGGTAATAGTTATACTAGTAGTTATAATTAATTAACGACTATTAATTAATGGCTAATCTAGTAAGAACAGCTATAAATGAAACGCCATGACTACTGGTAATAAAATTAGTAATACTAAATTTAATGTATATATTGAAGTATGTCAACTTATGTTGATACTTCTTCAGTAACATAACACACGTTAATGTACGTTCGTGAATGTAGAAAATTGTACAAACATGTCCGGATAATATTAGAAACATTTCTAAAGCAACTATGTGTGCCAACAGATGTTCAATCTTGTCACTTTCTTGCCATATCCTGTACCTGTGTGTGATCGCGTAACCAATTGCCACTTACCAATCCGTCGGTTCGAGCTTCGAAAAGATTGAATGGGAATGAAAGTCGTTCGACTGCGACAGTGTTGCGACAACGACCGAAGTATAGATCGATCACCTCGTGAGCGTCTCAACGACGTACGATGCTAATGAACGACGAGGTTCGATTTGCGAAGGAATGACGAAGGACAGCCAAGCCAGGAGAGAATTCAACCGGAGAGTTGTTCCTTTGGAATCGGCGATCGAACACACGGGCAGAGCCTGTAATGAAAGGCAGGATGCGCTCGGGACCGGACGTGATGTTCCCCGCATACAGAAACAGTTCCAGAAACGAAGGAAACACCATCGGACTGGACTATGACGATCGGTCACCCCTCCATCAAGATAATCGTGCCCTAAGTATGGCATGGCGTATGGAAGACGTCACCGGATAGATTTCCACGTCTGCTCGCCGACTATGTTTCTACATTTATTTATGACGTGACAACTGATTTCGTCCTCGTACATACCGGATATTTCATACTGTCTCTCTTTTAAGATTAAGCTCGACCGAGCTTAGGCTAGTAATTTTTTTCTTCTTTTATGGCGAGTAAATTGCGTGTCGTGGATATACCAATGCGCATGCTGGAAATTTTATCGTAGTATTTGATTTAACACCATTGCAAACCCATTTTTTCCACGTTAAGTGTTAATATAGTTAATATAATTTAAAAAAAATGAAAACTAGGTTTCATCCATAATACGTACGTTAATATTTCAGATACTTTCGCGTGCAATTTTCTTGTACTAGTGAAAAAGATAAAATTATAAATTAAAAACTTGCATTCGACCGTTGGGGAGATTTTTGCGGTGAAGAGCGATTCAGTAAAATGAAACGATCAATACCTATTATAATGAGACTTTCTGTTCCAGCCTATACAGGTGAATGTAGAATGAAGTAAACGCGCGTCAAGAGTTCATAGACCCAGTCAGCCTATTATCTCAAGTTTGTACACTTGAATTTGCACGTAGTCAGTCGATCGACAGGTAAATATTACGTGTTTTACATTTCTTAATACTGTTTTACACATCGTCGAGCAATCTTTGGTATGAATAGTGCATAGTACAATTCTTTTTTAGAACATGTATTAGAGAACTTTTTATCGAATGGTACGACAGTTAAGATTGATAAATATAAAAATGAAGTAATAAAATTTCAATTATTTCTTACAAATATCATACCTCATTTTTTGTAATTGATTGCGAGTGTCAAATAATATACAAAAATATATAAAATATCGAACTTCAAGCGTTCCCAATTATATGCATTTCTTTCATATACATATTATGTATAAATGTATATTCTAATTGTATTCTATCTTTCTTTATCTATCTATCTATCTATCTATATATTTTATCTATCTTTCATATTATGTATAAATGTATATTCTAATGCATATATGGTACATTCTATACATATATTTATAAGTATATCGCTGAAAATATGCAGTAACTTTTCTTTTACATAGCGAACACCTTACACTGTAATATAGAAAAATATATAAAATGTTTAAACTGCAATTACTCTTTTGATATTTCCTTCTCCCTCGTGATATTGTTCGTGTCTCACTCATCAGACTGATCCGGAAGTGGCGACCATCGAATATGATTTCTCAGAAGTGCAAAATTCATCGTTACACCGATTTAAAAATCGATTATTATTGACAGAAGATCGTTTTCCCGTGACGTGGATGCATTAATGGGATACGTGTCGTCGTAAAACAATAGCCACCGGTTTTCTCTCCTCGTCTGACTCACCACCGCTAGAAATTGGTTCCTCCTTGCACGCTGTCCTTCGAGAGAGAGAGGACTCTTGTCTCCGTTAGTGCGTGGCTCACCCTCACCGATGACACTTTGTTCGCGCTCCGCGACAACTTCCTCCATTCGCTGCCACGAATTTCCATTTTGTTCCTTCTCTACAGTGGCACGCAACAGTTCGTCAAACTTTCCACCTAACTTTGTGAAACGAAGCACACGTTTGATTTTTCTCTACTTTTCCCCTCTTCTTCTTTTCTAACAAACCACTTTTATTACACGTATCCTTCAGTATTTCCTCCCTTTTCCTTGCGTTACAAATGGATAAGCGGATACACGGTTTCTCGCGTAATTGGAATTTCAATGTTTGCCCTCTTGCTTGGTTGGACATCCGTTTGTGAATTATTATAGAGAATAAGTTGTGAGTTTGGTGAGACATTCTTTGGCTCTGTGATTTATTATCTCTGTGAAAGAAAGTATTGGAAGAGATATTGTGGAAGGAAGTAAATCATTTATTGGAAGAGATGAATGCGGAGGAAGTAAAGGTTGGATGCTTTCAAACAGTGATCGTGTTGCTGCTTGGCATTAATTATGTCATCGTCGCCATGAGCCACGCGCTCCCGGTGTTTCACAATTACACGCCTAAATTTTATTGTCAGGTAAGTTTCTTTTGTCTCAGGTAAGTTATCCAGTTTGTTCTTGTCATTTCTTATTAATTATTATCATGTATTATATATTATATAGTTATCTATTTCATTTGCTGATTGTATTTTTATTTTATCTTTCAACTTATCTTTATTTTATCTTTCAACTTACGTGAGTTCAATGAATTAATTCTCTCTAGTATTTGCCTATGGAATTCTAAAAAAAATTAATTTTTATTAAATTGATTCCGATTAATATTCGTCAGCTAGCTGATATTTATTTAGTAATATTTATGTGCTGCGTTTTTTTTTAATTTAAATTATTTTGCATAGGTATTATTCTTAACAAAGGATACAAAGAACGAAGTACATGTGTCTTAAGAATATTAACTCGAATAATTCACTAACTTTTGTCCTCTATGAAGTTTGAAACTCCTTTCAATGGGGTAGATGTATGCGTGTACAGTGTGAAAGCAAAGCTGCACACGTTACACGTGATAGCAAAGTTTACTCGATTATTTTTACAATATGACCTTTATACTCTAAAATCTACACAGAGAATGATATAAAATTAGTCAATTTTTTTCTCCTAGGTGAGAAATTGCCAAACATATCTCATAAAAGTCACAATTTTATTTATAATTTTATGATTCTGAATAGAAGTACTACGCGAGGAATTTTAATTTATTTACCAATGTTCAAATTTTATTTCTAATTTCCATTATTCATTCTCAATGTTTCAGCGTTAGATTGCAGATTATTTCGTTCGAATGCTCAACGTTTCAGTGTTTCATGGTAACGATTTATATGTTACAGGCGAAGAATGGGACGAAACGAACGTACGGTTGCCAAGAGCTTGGCAACGTGACTGTTGCAGTCAATGAGTCTTCCGGTCTCAAAGAATCCTCGAGTACCTCGAGCTTGTGCCTTGGCGAGTATCAATTTTCAACCGAATTTGGTGAAAGCAGCGTTGTAACGGAGTGGAGTTTGATCTGCGAAAAACAGTATCTGACGTTCCTTGGCCCGACAATTTATTATGTCGGGGTTTTAATGGGCGCTTGGATCTCCGGTCTCTTAGCTGATCGAATAGGAAGACTTCCGGTTCAAGCGATTTGCCTTTACACTCAGGGCACGATGGCCGTTGCACTGTATGTTGTGCAGGTACAGAAATTCTTCAATTTTCATCGACGAGAATAATTTTCTCCTCTTCACTGAATAAAGTGAATTCCGTTTCAGAATTATCCTACGTTCTTGGCTCTTCGAGGATTACAAGGCGTGTTCGTTCAGGGTCTACAGAACTCTACGTATATTCTTTCTTTGGAATTATTCCCTGCGAAAGCGCGGACGTTCGTTGCGTTGGTCATGCAAATTGCGTGGGCCATTGGTTTGATACTTCTAGCTGCGCTCAGTTATATTATACCCGATTGGAGAATCTTACAATTGGCTGTCTCGGTTCCCACTGCCATCACTGTCCTCTATATTTGGTAAATATCATCATTTTTAATAATAATAAAAAAAAAAACAATTAAATTATTACATAGAAATTTTTGTTATTTTTATTAAATGAATAAATAAATGAGCAAGTGATAAGTAAGCACATAATAATTTGAAGTTATACGAATGGCTACATTGTTCACTATGAATTTTCCACGCAACCATAATGGCAGAAATAATTCAATTATTATTGCAATATTAATAGTCAGTCTTTAATAATAAATTCCTACCACAAGTTACTAGAATAAAGAAGTAACCATAAGTTATTAAAATAAAAAAAAAAAATTTATTAATGTTTCTATTTTTCTACTTGATATTTCTCAAATATCAGGATGATACCAGAGTCGCCAAGGTGGTTGCTAGCAAAGGGTAAAACGACGGAAGCAGATATGGCAGTGGAGCGTATCACAAAGTACAACGTGTGCTGCACCAGATCGCGAAGGGAAAATGCCAAAGCGGTGGCGAACGTTGTCGAAAACCTGACGCCGGTTAAGCCAGAGAGAAAGTCGCGGGTTTCATGTACAGATTTGAAGAAATCGAAAACCGATAGCGAAATGAAAGAAGAAGCGGCGAATTTATTAAACAGCAACACCGACGCGGCTCAACAGAAAGTTCAAAGTAGGAGTTTTCAAATATTAATTTGAAAAATTCTCGTCTATTGTTTCCCTTGCCACATATCAACGATATTATATAACACGACTATAGTTTGATTAGATAGTCGCGAATTTAATTTCTCACTCCGTTGTTACATTACATCCATCGTGTCAATTTCAATGATTAATGAAATGTATGTTGTAAATGTAACGCACACTTTTCAGAGACGAGTTTGAGAGCAATTTCTGAGAACTTGCAAGGCAAGTTTCCTAAAACAGAATCAGAACCGCGGCCCGAGCAACGCGAGAACGGAGAAATAGAGAAGAGGAACACCGCGTCGAGTTCGAAGAGCCATCGGAAATCGAAATCGATATCGCAGCCGGCCGGAAACCAACGACTCTCCATGAAAGATACGTACGACACTGTGGAGCTGCGAGCCCCGGTAAAAGAGGAGATCTCACAGAAAGTCGACGAGGAGAAATTTCACAAAAACGATGAGAAATCAAACAACGCTCAAACGAAGGAGGAATTGTTGGGATTATTCAGATCTGTGCGATTAAAAAAATATGGGATCGTAATGATTTATCAGTGGTAGGGCTTCTCTCTCTTTCTTTTTTTTTTTCAACTAACTTTTCACTCAAAATTGAATTTATCAAATTCTTTTATTTATCTTTCCTGCGGCTTAAGTTCTCACGAATATTCTAAGGATTAGAAAAGATGCAACTTCTTGCCATCTTTTTGTAATTTCACGAATCTTCTCTCGAAAGAAACGAACGCGTAAAAATCACTTCTACACGTATATAACCATTTGTCCCTTTTATTTATTTCAGTTTCACCACTTCCGTAGCGCATTATGTTTTCATGACGCTTGTCCCTAGCTTTACTATTAACAGACACGTAAATTTCGCACTTGGGGGAGCATTAGAGGTTGCAACTTACGTGTTTCTCTACTTCATATTATCTAGATATGGTAGACGATTACCGATGTCAGCGTATCAATCAATTACCGGTGCAATTTGCATTTTGTTTGCGGCTGTACTTATCTTGTCAAGTCCCAACAATGCTGTCGGTGCGTAATCTTAACTATAATGTGTAGTTACATGTCTCTTGAAATGCCACTGTATTTCATATTTAGTTGACTTAACTTTCATAGCCATAAAAATTCCAATTTATTTCTTTTTCCTTTAAACATTCTCTGTAAACTTTCAATCAACTCTGTAAATGCATAAAGGTAAGGTCTTCTAAAAGTAGTTAACTTCCAGATCTCACGAAGATCACTATGCTCCTGCTCGGTAAAATAGCAGCGATAAGTACCGTTTCTATAACATACTTGTACACGGTCGAGATATTCCCAACTGTGGTACGAGGAACTTGTTTAGGCTTGTGCACGGTTTTCGCAAAAATCGGCAGTTTGTGCACGCCACATGTACTATCACTGGTAAGATTTGCATACTATATTTAGAATATAGTCTATATTCACTGTAGAATTAATTTAGTGGAACGTATAAAACCACCGTAGCATGAATTTTAAATTCAATCCAACAGGAATTTCTGCTTTCTCTCTAAAACATTTCCCGTTCTAATATATTCTATTGTATTGAATTTTCTGTAAATTATATAAGAAATATTAAATAAGGAAGTTACACGGAGGAATATGCAATATCTTTGTTTCCAGGGGGAGTATTTCCCAGTCACTATTCCATTGATAATTATTGGAATGCTCTGCTTAGGATCTGGAGCACTTGCTTTAATTTTACCAGAAACATTGAATCAAGTTTTGCCTGACACTACAGAGGATTCTGAATTACTGATCGTTAAGAGGAGAGAAAAAAGCGAAATATTAAACAATGAGACTGCCGTCGAAGATACTTCAGAGAGAGAAATACTTAGGGCAAAATTATTCTCTGAGGACTGGGTGGATGCAGGAAATGGCATATTAGTGAATTTCACAGAGAATAAAAATTCTGAATGAAGTTTCATCCAGAAGAAATCAGTGCCACGTGTTTCCATTGTTGAATCACGACCATTACAGTTGCTGCAAAGTGTGATCATTTGTCATGAAGATTTATTTCCAATAATATTTTTCATAGTTTAAAATGATAGTTTAATTTGTGATTAGATATTTTCCGAATTGAAATTGCAATACTTTTCATAAATTTATAGCCGTTCCAGGAATATGTATCATTGTGTATTATACTTTTTACATATATTGAACTATTATAATAGTTTATACCGATAAATATTTATTACATGTTAGGTTTAGTATCTAAAATTTAAAAAAAAAATCACGATACATTCAATTGTTATTGCTTCGGTATAAAGTAGATTTATATAATGCTTAATAAAAGTTAAAACAATAAATTGCGAGTCACATGAAGTTTTGAACATTTGTAGTTTAGAGGCTGAAATAACAATAGCTTCTTTAGATATGTCACTCGTACATTAAATAAATATATTTGTATATACAATTATAAGATTAATTTGAAAAATTTTTGCAAAAGTAAAATTAAACTATTATATTGATATTAAACACGTACGTATTAATGTTAAATTAATAATTGTATATATAAATCTAATAAGTGCCAAAGTTTGCGTTTACTTATAATACTTTAAAAAGGATTGAGATTAAATATAAAGATTAGTTTCATATTGTTACATATATATACTTCTTGATATATACTTCTTATTATTCTGTCGTAAGTATAGTCTTTTATTGTCAATTTTTACTAAATGAATGTTTCATTTACACAAAATTCTGTGTAAAAGATTTACAATGTTTCGAAGTGAAATAAATTCTATCAATGAATATAGTAAATGGACTTACTAAAATCATTAAAATTCGCATTTTCTATTCTTGTCCTTGATAATTTCCCTCTTTTTCCAGTCTTGAAGCACAAACAGTCATATAAATATGTATGAACAGCTATTCATGTTTCAGCATCATTTGTCCAAAATCAGATTCTACAAGTGGAGGGTCTTTACTTCAGTTTGTTTTCACAAAACGTTTATGATAGTATACTTCTGCAAACTTGATACTTATTATTATTGGAATTTTTATAATGTTCTTGATTTATTTAAGTTAGTTAAATTAGTTTTCATATTTATAAATCTCCTGGTAAATGATAGAAGGAAAAGAGGGAGAAGTGTAATCACAGGTATATTGAGAACATAGAAAAGTACTTTATTCGTGACTTATCACAGCCAAAAAACGTAACTAAAACAATTCTGACAAGGAACTACAGTTATAGACAACATTATGCAACGTTATTTTGATATTGCAGTTTTTATGGACCCATTTAATAGCAAATTTCTCATATACTATTCAAGGAACTTTAGGTTGTACAATACCATTATTTTGAGGATTTGCATGTTGTGTTTGCTCTGCTGCAGTCTGTAACAGTCTTGTCCTACGTCTGGTATAATGTTGCCATAATAAAATTTGCTGATCATCTATAAACTTTGTACATTGAGAATTTACTACTTCTCTCCTAAAGTGTTCATATTGTAATAAATCTAAGAAGTACAAGCACATGGGATATTTCAGATATTTTGCATATTCTGGTTCCTTCCAGTATAATAGATATTTAAGATAATTTATAAACGTAGAGTCCTTAAAGTATCCACGTTGTGCTAAAACTGAAATAATAATGATTGATATTGATTATATACTACTTATTGTCCAACATAGTTATTACTATCGATAATATGGTTATTGTTCAACATACAGTTTAAGTAATTTGGATTCGCAAGACATTGAACAAACTCTAATTCAACTTGAAATCTTAAGCGTTGCTGATCGTCTGTTTCTGGGCCTCCTACAAATTTGAAGCAAAATTTAATAACTAGATCTTACATGCATCTAACCTAAAAGTTATTGTAGAACGAATGAATTACAATTATTGTACGTCACGAAATTCGATTTTAAGGTGTACAAACGAAAGAAATTTTTCTCTTTAATTCTATAACTTAATAAAATAAAATTTAGCCTATACGAAATATTTTATAATTGTAACAATACATGCACAATGATAGAAGCGTGGAAAAATAATAACGAAATAGGAAGTGCTTCAGAAAAGAAATAAATTATACTAGTATTAAGAATTTTAAGAACGTAGTGAAAAATACCGTTCATTCCAATAAAAGATGGTTTTCTGCCTTTCATGAGACTTGGAGGATCATCCAAACGGTTCATAGTACATTAATTCGTATTAGTCGATTATTCTCGACCACAGTAATTGTAGAAACCCTAGATTTTTTGTGACAAAATAAATGATATATATTTAAATTCGCTTGAAATATTCGTACAACTTTTCTGACAACTCTTTACACAATTCCTTATGGTTCGAAAGATTTTCGTATACATATCGAAGTTGATGTCGTAGATGAATTGTAATCAAATGCACTGTAGCGACGACAGCGCCATTGTTTTCTACGGTCGACCGAGGAACTAAAAAGCGCGCATTCTGCTGCGCGGGAAATTTTAAATTGGCTAAACATGGAATATATTTCTTATTTCATTCCAATATCGAATTTATATAATTTTTATACGTATTTTAACATCAATTATATTTCAATGCAATAGTCTTCATTCCTGACCTTTATAAAAGCAAAATCAATATATAATTTTACTCAAAAGAGAGAAGTACTTTATTCTTCTAAATTTTATTATATTTGATGATTAGACTTCTCACATTTCATTAATTTCATGTTAATAATTATATAATTCTTATACCAATGGAATTTGAACATGTAATTGATTAATTAAATTTCCTATGTACATAGGTAAAAAGTTAAAAAAACGACTAAAAAATCGTTCTTTTTTCTAATTGCATTAATAGCTTTGTAATTAAATCATTTATGGAAATTGATAATTAAAGTTTGTTACATTGAAACGACAAAATTACTTTAGCGTTGTTAAACGTTCAATTTGCAACACGTTTAAGGTAGTACTTAAGTAGAAGAAAATTGAAGCAGATGTTGTTAAAGTCATGTAATGGTATTAAACATTGTTACGTAACAGTACATCATTATTTCTCATCATCATGGTAATAAGCAATTACGTATATAGATCCTTAAGCGTAAGGATTTTTACTTTTACGTACTTTGTATAATTTATATAATCAGAAATTCGTGGTAAAATCAAATTGTTATACTATTCTCAATGTAAAATAAAATCAAGAATCTTTTGAGTCAAGATAATTTATTACTTTTTTTTTTTTTTTATTAATCCATTATATTTTGTACACTTTTAACAATTTATTTTACCTAACAATCCGTCCAATCATATTCAAGAATATTTTCCAAGATATCCGTGTTCGAAGCGGAACAACGAGGAACTAGATCAGAAAATGATTAAATTAGAAAGCGCCGCGATTCCTTTGCGGTGAATGCCTTTTTCGTCCCAGCGGATGCTTTCATAATTCCTTGATGTTTCTTCGTGAAAAATTAATTGATACTATGTGTTACAGCGTCTATCGAATTTAGATGTGGGTGTCTTCAACTTAAATCGGCCAACAGCTTTCGTGATTTCATATATAAATATGCTCACACTTCCTTTTTTCCACTTTATTATTTTCTGCATAAACGTAATGTAAAATCAAATATTATTCTCCGATAAGAAATTATGCACGCAAAACATTTATACAATGCAACAAATTCGTAATATCAAGGGATTGACTAAAATTTTTCCCCAATAAATTGAATCTCACAATGCCTGAGTACAGTGATGTAATTCACGAACGAAGCTCTGAAGAAGGAAGTTTAGTCTAATATATGCTTTGTCCACCTTAATTATCCTGTTCTTCCACCATATACAGTACCTCCTCCACGCTCCAATCATAAAAAGAAGAAACTATGATATCCTCGAATTGGAAACGTGTACGTTCTCCATGCTCCTGGCTTCTTCACGCGTTGTACCCATACCAGAGCTCGATCAATTTTACCGTCTGAATTAAAAATCAAGGCGTCCAGTGTTTTCTTGCAGTCTTCGTTAAGACTCTAGACCGATCAGTGATACGTTCTTTTTTTTTTTTTTTATCTACGACACGTGTTCGCAAGGACGGTGCGTGACTTCCGCGTTCGATCGATCGCGATCTAGTGAGGTTATTGGTGACCTAGTGATCGGTAGATCGCGGAAATTAAAGACACGAAAATATACAGAATGCTTATATAACATACGAGAGTATGTAAAATATTAAGAACATTGTGTTATTAAAAGTATTTAAAATATTAAAACAAATTTCTATCTAAATCTTACTTTTTCCAGCTAAGATAGAAATTCTTCCTCCGTCAGAATTCGCAAATCTGGCGTACAAAAAAGAAAATCCACAAATATTCAAGAATTCGAGAATTTCGTATTTTCGCGCAGCTTCAGAGAGATTTGTTCGTTCGTTCGTTCGCGGTGCGGTTTGTTTAAATAGCTGAAACGAAAATGGCTAACAAGAAGATGCCCTATCCTCTGCCCTATCCTTTCTCGTTGGAGGAGGAACTGAAGAAGAACCCGGAGGTGAAGATGTCGGATATCGAGATGCTGAGAGAGTGGTGTGACAAACAGCAACATCTACCCAAACCTTCGGACTTGCATCTCATCATGTTTCTTCACAGCAATTATTACAGCATGGAGGCAGCGAAGAACACCGCGGAGAACTTCTTTACTATTAGATCTCACATCCCGGAGTTTTTCGATAACAGAGACCCGCTTGGGTCCAAGGAATTGCGGCAGACGTTCAACGTTGTGTGAGTTCTTGATTTCCCGGTTTTTCGATAATTTGCACGAGCAAAAATGTTCGATCGTCAATTGGAGAATTTCGAAAGAAATTGGCAAACTCCATGAATACGATATGAAAAGAAATACTCGAAGTGTTTCAACAACATTTGCTCCCTGTGATATTCAGTGCGTGAAACAATTTCTACTTTTTAAATTGTGAAATTTTACCATAAACACTCTGACTTATTATATATAAATATTATATAT